TTGCTTGGCCAATGTGCTCTCTGTGAAAGCCTGAGAGAGTGTCTTCTCCCCATGTGACTCTCCTTAGGCACACTCTACGTCATTGATCACTTTCCTCTTTGGCCCCATAATCTTCTTGATCAGAAAATGTGGGACACTACCAAGGTACATGATGTTACAGTACAAGTTCTCATATGTCCTGAGTCTTAATTGACCTTAGAAGGCTAGGGCCAAAATGTTGACTTTCCTTGTAGCCCTCCTTTTTCTCTAATTTTGGTCTGCAAACTTAGGTTGTTAACCATCCAGAAGACAAGCTTATTGTTATTATCAAACGATTCTTTCTTTTGTTCTTGAAGCTGCGATCACTTCTGTCTCTTTCTGGAATATCTTCTAGTACTCTTTGTAAGGTTGTTTTGGTGGTCAGGAATTTCTTCAATTGTTCTTTGTCATGGAAGGATCTTATTTCACCATTTAATTTGATAGTTTTGCAGGGTATATCAATCTGGGTTGAAAGTTATTTTCCTTAAGGACCTAAAATACTTCACTCCAAGCTCTTCTTGATTTGGCAGTTTGTGTTGAGAAATCTGCTGTGGTTCTGATTTCTATTGTAGGTGATCCATTTGTTCTCTCTAGCAGCTCTTAATATTCTTTCTTTTGCTGAATTTCTGAGGTTTTGATTATTATATGTCTAGGTATAGATTTATATTCTTTTTTTTTCTTTTTCTCTTTTTTTTTTTTTTTTTTTTTGGTGGAACCGGGGATTGAACTCAGGCCCTTACACTTGCCAGGGAAGCACTTATTCCCGGCCCCTAGGTGTACATGTATTGTGATTATGGCTGTGTGGAGTTCTATATGCCTTGCTTATGTGTGTGTCAGGTACTTTTCTCATGTTTGGAAAATTTTCTGCTAGTACCTCTGCAAATAGTCTTTTTATGTCATGTGTGTTGTCTCCTGCTGTTTCATTGACACCTATTATTCTTATATTATTTTTCTTTGTATCATCTTGTACCTGCTGAATTGCTATTTCCTGGTTCCTTATTAGTTTTAAGAGATCTTCTATTTCATGTTCATTAACTGCTACACTGTCTTCAAGGTCTGAAAGTCTATCTTCAGTGTCATTGAAGCAATTTTTTCAGATTTCAATGGAGTTCTTAATATCTAAGATATCTGTTTGAGTCTGTTTCATGTATTCTAATTCTTTCCTGTATTGCTCATCCAGTGTTTCCATCATATTTCTGTTCTCCTCTATTCTTCTATGTTTTCTTTAGCTGTGCTGAGCAATTCTTTCACGATTGTTGTCCTTTCTTTTTGGACATGAGAGATTATTTCTGCTCTTATTTCTTCTATAACCTGATGGACTTATTTCTTTACTTCAGTTGCTAACATTTCAGATATTTCAGGTGTGTGGTTTCCAAGTTATCATATGTGTTTGTCTCCTGGATTTGTTCTGGGTGGGCTAGATGACTAAGATTGCCTTTTTATCCTGCATTTTGGCAATTTTGAAGCTCCCAGTAATCACCCAGATAGAGTCTCACAGGCTACCTAGAATGTACAAAAGCTCTTAAGTGGTGCCTAGAAAGCTGCACAACTGTGCACACTGCGCCCACCAATTGCAGCTCTCCTGCATCCTGCAGGGTACTCAGAGTCCTCCTAAGTTCTTAAAAGTTTGGACCAGCACTAGCAGAAACTCCATGCTGCACATTGGGGACTAGAAAAAGTCAGAGTTTATCAGAGTCCTGCAGGCTTCCCAGAGTCCACCAAAGTTCTTAAATGGCACCAGGCTTTCCATCTTCACTGAATCTCCATTCCTTTGTTGGGTTTAAAGATGCTTCTATTAGTGTCAGATGTTTATTTCCTCATTTTCATGTAAATTGAAATTTATAGTATTTGCTATTTCCTTGTCATGCTGTTCACATGAGTAATAGAAAGTTTTATGTTCTGCTTTTATTGATTTGTATGTGTTATTGGAAGACATATGGAAAGATTAAAATATATGTGGCTGTTTATTTATATGGCTATTTTTATATTACATAAACATAAAATTACATTTGGAAAATGCCTGAAAGTAAATTGTTTCAATGTTCAAAAATGAATGGGAAACAGAAGCCATTATCTTTCAAAGTTATTTTCCAAGAAACAAGGAAAAGATTTCTCTTTGACAGCAGTGTCTGCAGACACTAATATCTACTTCCTGTTTAGACTTCACGTCTAATCACTTTAATAAAGTAATTACAGATGGATGGCATATGTCCCCTCCTGAACTAGAAACTTTGAGAAATGAGAAGAAGCATTCAGTGTGGTTTTCGTTTGCAGAAAATCACAGATAAATTTAGGAAGTAAGAATCTGATGCACAATTGTGCACAAATATATGCAGATTATACAGAGTTTTAAGAGATAGTATAAGGGTCAAGTAAGTGGAATGAACAGAAAAGTTACACACTTGGAAAAGAAATGGGTAAATAAGTAAGGAATGGAGGTATTTCTATTGTAGTAGTTCTAGTGAGGTCTCTGCTTACCTGTTTTGAAACTGTTCAAATATATGATTTCAATCCAAGAGACTCCATGATCAATTAGAGGTGGCCAAAGATCTCTATGGCAAGATCATACTTATAATTCCACAAGAAACCCAGGAGTTATTGCACTTTCATCTCTTCTAGCTTCTCAGCAAAGAACATAGCCCCTTCACTGCTTCTCAGATATGTTCTTTCTTCTTTGTTCAAATATTCTTCAGTCTCTTGGCATAAGGAACACCGTGGACATCTTCTTCATAGGAGTTAAGAGTTACGTCATGATCTCATTTCATAATTCCATTGTAAATTTCCTGTCCCTGGGAAGGTTTTGTCTTTCTTTGGAAAAATACTTTAGTGAGCCACATGCTGTTGGCATTCCTTTCTCCTTTATAGACAAAAATCCCAATTTATTCTTCATAATAGTAAAACAGTATTGCAAAAGTAATAGCACCCATGTCCAGCTTCATTTTATGTCAAAGTGGTCAGTATAACATGAACAGTAGTCACCACTTGGTATGTTTTTAAGTTAGCTCAATAGATAATGTACTTCTTTGTCAATCTTTCAGCTATTGTCTACCCTGAGATTCTTAGATGCAGAGTACAGAAACTGGTTAAGAAATTGGGAGAAATTGGTTCCTGATTTGTTCATTTCATTCTCTTTGTGTTTACCTTTAGTTTATCTCCTTTTGAATCTTGGATAATGCCATTATTACTCATTTCATATCATTTCTGACCTTCCTTCCATGCTGTCCCTACTTGAGGTCTTTCTACTGTTGATTTATCTTGTTTTTCATAATTAGGTTGCTTTACCCTACTTGGGCTGAGCTCCCATTTTCCTCATGATTTCACTTGAATCTCTTTTCTTCATACAGGGAGCCATATTTTCCTCATCTCTTCTGCAGCCTGAGAGATCCAGTATCTGTATGAGTAAAAGTCCAAGGATTCAGAATGGCCACTTACATAGCTGGGGCTTCCATGAGGGAAGGTCTAAAAGCTGAAAGAATCTGGACACTCCCCTCTCCATTTGTTCTCCTGGCCTAAGCACCCTCTCTTGCTCGGTGCATAGTGGTGACTGTTTGATGGACTCAGGGGCCTAAGGGGAGATATTAAAAATGGACAGAAAGAACCTGCAAGATTGCCTGTTATTTATCCTCAGAATCCAGAAGTTTATATATGTGAAGATCCAGACAATGATAAATCCCAAAACCAGTTCAGATTCAAGGGGAGATGATTAGAGTCTGTATCAGTCAGGGTTTTACTAGAAAAACAGATAAAGCACAAGATGCACAAAGGTGTAAGAAATTACAAGATTGGCTTATGATAGTCAGACACAGAGTTGGATGAGGAAGCATGCAAAGGGCATCTGCAGACTGGAGGCAGAAGGGTCCTCTCCCCTCTAGATCTCATGCATGAGTGACCTTGCATGTTCAAAACAGGAGGCCAATGAGTCTGACATGGAAAGCTGAAGAATTTACTGCAGAAGGCTGAAGAGTCCCAGGCAGAAGGTGATCAATCATTCTATGCTAGAAGCCAGGAGATGATATCCAAGTTGAAGGTGAAGACTGGAGCACCTTCGAAGAACCAACAATCCGTCCTTCCTGATTTACCTTTCATTGTTTAAAAGGGTCTTTTACAACCTGGAGGAGAGTCTTTTACATCCACATCGTTGCCGTGCCTTCCATTTTTTTTTATTATATACATCTAGTAAAAGTTTTGTGGACTTCCTCTTTCACTTTCAGGTACACTGCAGCTAATCAGATGATGCCATAGGCATGCATGGGACAGATTATTCTGCTCATCTGCTCCTGTTGTCTATCACAGTGACTGTGGGAATCCTGCCTTTGGCTCAGTTACTTTTCTCTCATTGCTGAGACAGAGGCCACATCTTGGACAAGGTACTGGGAATCAAACCCACGACCTTGTGCTTGACAGGCAGGTGCTGTGCCACTGAGCTATATCCTAGTCCCAGAGTCCACATCTTATTTGGTGAAGTAACAAAGAATTTTCAGCCATCTTTAATGAGAATTTGCAGCCAGATACCTAACTGTTTTCCTTATTTTAAGAAAACCAGCTAAAGGTGAAAATGAGCCAAATGTGGAAAATGGAGCAAAAACAATAAGGTCTCAGGAAACATTATTGTTGAGATAGTTAACCTATTGCGAGAAAGCTAGACTTTCACATCCCTAGCAAGGCCCCAGAATTCATGCTTTCAAAAATCTTAACAATAAGCAGGTTACATCCAAAATAGAAGTAATGAGGCCTCTCCAAGGGTGTTCAAGTCTGGGAGCAAGAGGTCTTGAACCCATCACATTATGTTTCCCAGGGAGCCAGAGGGGTTTTGCCCACATGGCAATAGGACTTAACCAGTGTTGAGACACCCAAGCCTTGTCACCAAGCACATCCGGGCTGTGCTTCCCCTGAAGTTCACAAGAATACTCCAGCATGGAACTCACTTTCACAAATGCTTGATTTTCCCTACTTAGGGAACTCTGATGGAGTAGGTCGCTCACATGCTTGCCTGGCAGGGCAGACATCACAATGGCGAAGGTGGCTTTCCCAGGGCAAGGCTCATCCATCGCACTCCAGAGATGCTGGCGCCTGTGATGTCTCCAAATGTGGGAAACTGGGCTTCACAATTTGTGGTAGTGGGGGACAGTGTTGGCACTTTACCCTGTCAAAAAACAGAAATAAATACATAAATCACACTATGTCACTACCTTCCTGGTAAAAATCTGTCCCCTACTCCCCCTTCATAAAAGAGGAACAGACCAAATGTGGTGGCAAAAGCCTGTAATTAATCCCAGAACTCAGCAGGCTGAGGCAAGAGCATCATTGAAAGTTTGAGACTAGCCTGGGCTACAAAATAAGCTCAAACCAGCCTGAACTACACAGTGATCTCAAAAAATACACAGAGAGAGAGAGAGAGAGAGAGAGAGAGAGAGAGAGAGAGAGAGAGAGAGAGAGAAAATAAAACTTTAAAACAGAAAAATAGAATAGCAAAGAGATGGCGTTCATTGGTTTTTCACTTCCTTTCCCCGTTCTTACTAAATGTGCTGTCCACGTAAGAAAAATAAAATCCACTTCTGTCGAAACAAATTGTCTTCCACAGTACTTGTGGCAGAAAGCAACCCTCCAGGCCCCGTGAGGAACCTCAGCCTTTTGAGATTAAAATTAGCAGAAGAATCTGAGGCCATGAATCCTCATCCCAGAATAGCATGAGATTCTCTACCAGCATTGCTTGATACAGCCTATGAAATGGGAATCATTTAATCCCTTTAAGGAGTTATATTTCACATTCCTTCATTAGATTTTAACACATTCTCTGTAACAATAAGCTTTACTCTGCCTGAGGAAGCAGCTACTAATTACTGGGTTTTTTTTTTTCCCCTATCGTAAATAAATACTTTCAACCTAAAAACATAAAGATCAATGCTCAGAATATGTTTTTAAAAATTAATTATATTGATCTTCTCTCACAATGTTTTCATTAAAAATATTTCAGTTTGAATTCCATTCTTCCTTCAAGGCACTGGCTTTAATAGATCTGATTTTAATGGGTCCTCACGTGACGCGTGTCAGGGATGTGTATTAACGTTCTGTCATCAGCTAAGTAGATAGCCTCCCCTTGCTAGAGTTTGTCACTCTAGACTTAAAATGCAATTTTTTTTCACAGTTTAGAATTAGGTATCTTTTTAATACTCAAGAGAAAAGCAAATGGAAATCAATAGGACGTTTATCAATCATCCATAATTTCCCCCCCAAAAAAATTATACAAATATAATTTATTATGCCCCAGACTCAGTTGCACAAAATTTCTGAAAGTTGTTGTTCTCCACTGGTCTTCAGTTCTTTTATTTTTTTCCCAAGGAACAAAGGTTTTGTCAGTTGTCATTAGAAATAAATCTTTGGTCTCCTAGTATTCAGTGGGGAGAATAATAAATTAGGACAATGACACAGGAAAGAGTTAAAAAATTATATTTTAGACTCTGAAACATCTCTTAAAGTTTTATTTTTAAAGTAAGAGTTCTAATAGTTCTAACATTTTGCATTCCATTTATGAGCCATGGTAGTGTCTCTCCCTCTCACTCACCTCCTCTTTCTCCCTCTCTCTCTTTTTCTCCACCCTCCTAGGGTGAGTCCAGCCTTGTTTAAGTACACAGTCACTCGCTAAAGAGGAAAGGGAGACAATTATTCCAGATTTCAGCTTTGTCTGACTCGAGCAAATATATTTCTCAATTCCAACTCCTTTACTTACATGTTGCCTAAATAATTCACTCAATTATACAACACATGGCATGTGGGGGATTTAATTCTGGAAACATCTATGTACTTTATGATATGGCGGTTAGTAAGGCAGAGTCTGTGTCCTCATGGGAAGTGCATATAACACATTTTAAAGCAAAGCTAATGTTCCCACCGGCACCAGAGACTCTAAAATTGATGTCTCATCTTCAGATTCCATATCCATCATCCACTGACCTTGAATCAGAGTCATCTAGTATTTCAAACTGTTGTTTCTCCTTTTATTACAGCCTCAGTTCCCTCATTCTCCCATATGTGCGCTCTCAACTTTTCTCTATTTGTCCACTATTTTTTGTTCATACTTTCTCCTTCCAACTCATAGTTAAAGTTCATTACTTGGAATTATGGATTCAAGATAGCTAGAAACTAATATCATCCAGGTATGCTGTGGTTTAAATGTGAAAAGTCCCTCTAAAGTTCCATGTGTTCAGATGTGGGCCTTTCATAAGGTGACTAGATTGCTGGGGACTGGATACACTCCTCCTTGGATTTATTCATTGATGAGTCCCTTCCTAATGTGCTCTTGGGGAGGGCAGATAAAAGGAAAGGGTGGGTCACTGGCGCATGACCCCGAAGAGCACTGTATCTTGTGTCTCCTCTCCCTGGGAGGCAAGTGGTTCTTGTGGAAACACCACTCAATGATTAAGCTGACTAATTCTAATTAGACCCCTTTCCTCCATCTATGCTGTGAATGTCTGATGAATCCCACTCAATAAGGTATTTATAAAAAAAAAAAGCACCTTGATTAATTACAGCTTATAAGTCATACCTAGTCCTGGACATATTGCTGCAGTGCTGTGATAGCCGTGGGCTATGCAGATCCTGGAGGTGAAAGAAGAAAGTTTCTCAATAAACTCAATGTTCTCTAAGACACATGCTGACAGACCTCTTGAAGTGTGCTTAAGAGGAAAAAAAAAAAAAGTGACTTTGGTCCAAGAAGTCTGTTTCAAAAGTTCACGAATTCATTTCTCTCCAAGGAGTCCATTAGTATTCCCAGGAGATATTTATTGATTTGTCTTTTAAAACCAACCCTAAATTTAAACTAGTGAACATTTAGTACCATTTTGAGGAAGGGAGTAAAAACTATTCTTGAAAACTTTGAATAAATTGCTAATGGACATCTCTGAGGAAAAAAAAAAAAAAAAGGACCATAGAGCAGAGCAGAGATTTATTGATACTTGTATCTGTATCTATATTTGTACTTACATCTATAAAATCTTCTTAACTATAAATGAATATGCAACATCAAGACCACGTGGAAAATCTCGGGGCTTTGATGAAGCTTTATTAACAATTCCAGGGCTATGACCACTGATTCTTAACCCAGTCTCAGGGCACGATGTGGTCACCTCGGTCGCACATCTGGTTAGAGCCTAGAGTTTCTGCACCCAGTATGAGGGATGCACCAAGCGACAAATACAGATCTTTCACCTCTAAGAACACTGACACAACGGCTGACATGCGCACACAAAGGAATCACAGAGCAAGGCACGGTTTGTCCACTGAGGGACTCCCGGGAAGGCAGCGCAGATACTCAGGTCATCATCAGGCCTCCTCAGTCCAGCTCAGCTCACTACTTACCAGACTTCATCTCCAAATCGAATTCCGATTTCAACAAATGGCAGAGACACTCGTGGCCACTATGCTCCATTTCGCCTTCAGCCGTCACCTCTGGAGTTAATTCCAAGAATTTAATTATAGGAGGCAAACAATGACTCTTGTTTGGCGGAATTATTATTATCATCGTGTTGCCCCATTCAGAGTCCAGAAAACCGGACTGGGGAAATGAGAAAACTCATAAAGTGGTGCCTCTTCCCCATCACAGCTTCTCTGCGAGATGCAATTAATAAAAATGCAGAGGCTCAGCAGCCTACCAGCGCCCAGAGTAATAACTACTTTTATGAACATGAGACACAGGTCTCAGGGCGTGTTGAGGCAGGCTTGTGCTATCAATTACATCGTCAGGCAGTGCATTTCAGAGCTCAGAACATGTTCTGTCACAGGACATGCGGGAAATGCACCCTGGAGGAAACAGAAATATCAGGGAAATAGGAATACCTGAGACCTCGGCACACATATCATGGAGAAACAGGAGCGATGTGACTTGAAAGCCATCCCCAGCAGTGACAGAAAATTAGAAAAGTTTCATGGGTAGGGAAGAACTGTCATGCTGCTGCAGCAAGCCCACATCACTCAAGGTCTTCACTTCCGGAGAACTACCAGGAAGCTGTCAATTTCTCCATCTTTTATATGTTTGGTAAACATTTGTGTGTCAGGTCATAGCCACACCGATTCCCAGGACAAAGGCCACGCTGTTCGTCACACCCAGTCATGCATTCAGTGCCGCTGCCTCTTGGTCTGTTTCACGCCTCAACAAATTTCCTCTTGAATTGCTCCTGGCAGCAAGTAGCAAGAGGTTTCATCAGAAACTTCCTGAGGGAACACTTGGTGCATCAGCCACATTCTTTTTAATACTAAATGGTGATCTGTATTGGTCAGGGTTTTACTTAGAGGAACGGATACAATATAAAGAACAGATATTACCACAAGACATACAATGTATAAGGAATTAGAAGATTGGCTTACAACAGTCAGCTGCAGAGTCAGATGAGGGAGTGCGCAGAGGGCGTCTGCACACCCCAGACTGAAATATTCAGTCCCAAGTCTGAAGCTCATTGCAGTGCTCCATGCAAGTCTATGCATCAGTTAATGCGTCTACGACAGAAGACTGAAGAGGAGTCTGTGATGGAAGGCGAAGGATCCAAGCTGGAGGCCGAAGAGTCTGCACTGCAAGCCGGGCGATGACGTCCAAGCCAAATACTAAGACTGAAGTTCTTCCGGGGAAGCGGGACCTCGACTCCTTCCTCAGCCTTTATATGGTCTCTTTGTGCTGAGTCACTCTGGGGCAGGCCCACTGTGCCCTAAGGTGGTACAAATCCCCCCCCCCAGGATGGGCCCTGGACCCGCTCTAGGGAGTAACCAATCTATGCCCCAAGGTGGGTCCCTTGTGTCCTAGAGTGGAACTAACTATGCCCCAGGGCAGGGCCCCCACCAGCCAGGAACCGGGTCCTAGGGTCATCCAGACAAGTTGACACAATGTATCAACCACTACATAATCCTTTGATGTGTTCATTTAGCTTATTTACTCACAGAACTGGAGACTCCGCCCAAGGCCTCACACGGGCTAGGCCAGTGCTCTCAGGGGGAGCCCCACCCTGGCCCTGACTGCCCATTCATACTGGTGCAGTGACCTCCCACATTCTCCACCTTCTCTTCCAAGGCCCCTCGCCACGTCCATTCTGGTGGCCCAAACTCCAGCTGGACACTCCATCATCTTGCCTGAAAGGTAGGATGGTTTCTGATGGATCGTGG